CCCCCCACCTGCACTTCCAGGTACATCTCTGCTGGCGCCCCCACAAGTTAATAGTCTGCGCTGGAGCCTCTCTCCATACCTAAAACTCTCGTGGACTCCCTTCTCCGCCACCCAACTGCCTTCAGGGCTGGGAGAGAACCTCCCTTTCCAGATGGATCTTGTCTGCCCCCAGACGCGCTGCAGGTGGCGTCTTAGTGGCGTGCATGTCCCGCCTGGCAGAGCTGCCTCCTCAGTGGCATTGCCTGGGAGAATGAGACGAGGTCCCCGCTGCGGCAGCCTCCCGGTATCGACACAGTGCCCTGAAGAATGGCGCTCACTTTCTTTGTCACATTCTCCTCTGACGTGTGTGCACATCTCAGCCCCGACTGCCACGGCTACCATGTCCCTGAATCTCCACCTTCTCCTCCGGGGAAGGGGCCTCGAGAAGCAGAGCTGTGTCTCCTGGGTTCTCCTGCAGCGTGGGCGGGGGAGAGAAAATCTCTAACCTCCTACTCTAGAGACTGACCAGAGTTAGTGCATGTTCAGAAATGTGCTGTGGGGACAGGGCGTTTTTGGTAAAGCCCATCACGCAGCCCTGAGCCTGTCGCACAGGAAAGAGTGGAGAGCGCTTGGCAGCCCCGGGCAGTTAGGTCACAGGAGGCTGCCGCTTACGTGTTGACTTGACTCTGCCAAAGTACTAGGCTGTTCTTCCCTCCTGGCAAAACATTTTTCAAATAGCTTTTTGGAAATTTTCTGATTGGAGTATTTGAAGTGGCAATTTAATTTTTTTGTTATGGTAACATATACATACAACAAAAATTGCCATTTGGACTATTTTTAATTGTGCAGCTCTGTGGCATTCAGTAGTTCAGTACGTTCACGTTGTTGTGCAAACCCCCCCCGCCCCCTGCCCCTGGCCGCCTCCAGCCGTTGTTCATCTTTCGCACCTGCAGCTCTGTCCCCTTACACACCAGCCGCCCTCCCTCCATCCGGCAGCCACCATCCTGTCTGTCTCTGGGAGTCTGACTATCCAGGTACCTCATGGAAGTGCAGTCATACAGTATATTTGTTTTTTTTGGGACTGGCTTATTTCCCTGAGCATGATGTCTCCAAGGATCATCCGTACTGCAGCAGGTGACAGAGTTTACTTCCTTTTGAAAGCTGAATAACATTCCAGCGAGTGGATGGACCATGTGGTGTTGATGCGCTCATCTGCCCTCGGACACTTGCGTTGCTTCCATCTCTTGGGTATTGTGAGGAGTGCTGCAGTGAGCCCGGGTGGAGAAGTATCTGAGCCCTCGCTTTCAGTGCTTTGGGGGCTATACCCATAAGTAGAATGACAGCTGGGTCATAGGGTGATTCTGTGTCCCCATACTGGTCTCCACAGCATGACCATTTCATTTTATAAATTCCCTCAAGTCCATGTTTCTCCCTTCCCAGCTTTTTGTTTTGTTTTTGCTATCTTTGGAGTAAATACTTTCAAAAAAGAATTGCTTAAGCTCCTTTATATAATAGATTAGCAAGGAAATTTTTTTTTGAAGTTTTTATTACTTAATCTCTACATGGGCCCTGAACTCATGACCCTGAGATCAGGAGTCACATGCTCCACCAAATGAGCCAGCTGGTCGCCCCATCAAGGAAATTCTTTGAATCGACAGCCTGTACCACCAAATCCAGTGTTGGATTGAGAAGCATCTGTAGGCAGCATGGGTGGTGTGTTCGCTTGCAGTCAGTAGGGACAGGACCTGTGCCAAAGGGTGGAGTTCACACTTGGTGGTTTTTCTGGAAGGAAGGATACACGGTGCTCGTGAGTACACAGGCCTTCAAGCTATTTTAAGGGCAGTTTCCCTTGATGACTTACGGGAACGTTTGTAGAACAATCAGAGGATGTGGCATTGTTCTTAGCTCCTCTTTTAAAAAAGAGATTTTCCCATCAGGTGGAAAATACCAGACAATTCTTGTAGGAATGGTTGGGTCAGAATGACATTATTCTGCTTTGGTGGATTTATTTTTTTTTTTATTATTTTTTTTTTAAAGATTTATTTATTTATTTTGAGAGAGTGAGAATGAGAGAGAGAGAGAGTACATGAGAGTGGGGAGGGTTAGAGGGAGAAGCAGGCCCCTCGCCGAGCAGGGAGCCCGATGCGGGACTCGATCCCGGGACTCCAGGATCATGACCTGAGCCGAAGGCAGACGCTTAACCAACTGAGCCACCCAGGTGCCCTGCTTTGGTGGATTTATTATGACCTTCTGGGAACGTTAAGAAAAACCCACCAAGGATTGCTCTATTTATTAGCACTACATCCTAATTTTGCTTTTCCTCTGATTGTTCATAGTGTTTTTGTGGATGCTTTATCTGCTTGTGCAACTTCATACCCTGTGCCATATGCACAATACCATTTCTTGACACAATATGCAGAAATTTATTTATTTATTTATTTGAGAGAGAGAAAGAATGAGAGAGAGAGATCACGAACAGTGGGGAGGGGCAGACGGAGAGAGAGAAGCAGACTCCCTGTTGAGCAGGGAGCCGGATGCGGGACTCGATCCCAGGACCGCGGGATCATGACCTGAGCCGAAGGCAGACGCTTCACCGACTGAGCCACCCAGGCGCCCAGGGTGCAGAAATTTATGATGAGGTGGCTATCCTGGCTACAACCCTTGGAGCCATTCAGAAGCATTGTTTCTGCCAGGTTGGAGTGTACGTTGGACTCTGATTCAAAAATCATAAGCCAGGTCACCAACCTTCACAGCCTGGGCCCAGAGAAACGCCTAAGCAGCAGTACCAATGCCTCACAAAGGCCTGGCTGTGGACCTCAGGGGCTGTCAGCCACAGGAACATACCTGAATGCATTTTCAGGGCTGTGCCCTGAGTCTAACCATTGGCACCGAGTCACAGTGTCTTGCCCGCAGCACTACACACATTACAAAAGAGAAGACTCCTGCCCCCTGCAGTCACCCCACTTTGTCTCCGAGGCAGTAAGAGACTCGTCCTTGTCTGTTATTGTAAGCACCAGTAGCATGCTGGAACTGAGAAATGTGAAACGAGAAACGGAGCTGTCCTTTCAAAACCACCCAGGAAACAAACCGACACACCAATCCTGTTAACGCTGTAACAGTTTTGAAGTGCATTGTTTGCACAAGAGAAAGCCAAAGTTTGTGTACGGAGAGCCAAAGTAGTGACTGCTGACGGGGTTTTCAGGAGGAACCACTTGGCCATCATGGGCATCACGGAGCCAGCAGGAGATGGTGAAGAGAGTTTTATATAGCGTTTATATTGAGAGTGGGGTAGACCGGTTGTTCCAGTGTGTTCTGCCCATCAGGGCGAGGGTGGCCCATTCAGCTGGTTCACGGGGAGAGCAGGGGTTTGGATAAGCTGTGGTCTGAGATGCTGGGGACCCCGTTGCATGCGGGTGTTGCTATGTCCCTGCCCCAGATGCATGGACAGCATATTTCATTTGTCTGTCCTCATAGGCTCCTAAGACTTGCATTATCCTCCAGAATGGAGTCCACATTCTTCTTGGCAGCAGGATAAAACATATGCTTTTTACTTTTTTGCCTGATGGTGAGCAAGGCCGTGACTTACATCTTAGGAGTCTTTAACTTCACGTCTGTTCAGAGGAGGTAGGGAAAAGCAGGGTTCCCCTGGGCAGGCCCCATCGGGAGGGACATTGCCGAGTAGCTGCCTTGCCCTAAATACCTTCTCCCCTCTGTGCATCTGGAGCTTTGCTTTGTGTACTATTGGAATCCTATCAGTTCATAGAAGCGTTTGGGCTGATATCATCCATTCTTTTGAAAAGACCAGACCAGACCTTGGGAGGATTTAGGCACCATCAGGAGTGACACGATGAGCCGACGGCACTTGGCCAGTACTGGCCACACTGCATGAATCCACGTTTTAGACAGACCGCTGAGCTGCCAACCTTGCCCAGCCTTGGCGTCCCTTCCTGTGATGGGGGCATAGTGCTGGTCACAGGGGTGGCTGTCCGTGATGCCCCAGCTGATTGACTGCGCCCGGGATGACACAGAGAGTCCTGGTGGGGACTCTGTGAGGACGTGGGCAGCGGGGCTGCTGAGCACGCTTCTTCCTGCCTGGGCTCTGCTCACCACTGTGAGGCGCCCCATCCAGGCTTCGGCTCTGGGTCCTGCACCACCAGCTCCGCTCCTCTGTGCCGGCCCCGGGCCTCTCTGTGCACGTTTTCTCTTCCATGAGATGGATGAGACAGTGGCAGCTCTCTCAGGCCTGCTAGCAGGGCCGAATACAGTGGTGCCCGGCCCGCACAGAGGTACCAGGTACCAGGCAGGCTCTTGCCTCCCGGCAGTTCTGGATGCGTGGTGATTAGTTCCGTATGGTGCTTTCCTTGCACAGCCTTGCCCGGACCTGACCTGAAAGAGCCAAGGTTTCAGCTGGGAAGCTGGGGTGGGTGACTTGGAAACGTGGGGTGGGATGGGGACAGGGAGGAGGAAGCAGGAGGGTGCCGTCGGCCAGGCGAGGACGGGGAAGCAGCAGGGCATCCAGGATCCCCATCGCTGGCTCGGGTCTGGGGGCCCGGTGCCAAAGGGATGTGGCACAGCTCCTCCTTCCAGGCCCTCGTCCAGGCTCTCACTGGGGTCTCCCCTCATGGGCCGTGGCTTTAATAGAACCGGTGGTATGGTGAGCCGCAGTGCGGGTTCAGGGGGCCTTCGTGGGACCCTGACACCAAGGACGATCTCATTTCCCTGGGAACGTGCTGTTTCCAGGCCACTGGGGATTGTCTAATTTGGGGTTTGTGCAAGTAGGCTTCTAGAGTTTAGCAGGATAGACAGCGCGGATTATTGCTTTGTCAAGTGTGGTCTAAGCAGAATAATGGCTTCACCGGTGAGTGCGGGTGCCGACCAAGTGTGGAACAGCGAGGGTCGGACTCCGCCTTGGAAGACAGGGTCAAGGCTTTGGCACACTCTTTTCCTTCCCCGCGCTCAGTCTGTTTCTGCGGCCTTGTGACTTCTTGACTGTGATCTCCAGCAAATGTTTCTTGTTGCAGAGTATGGCGTTTGCGAGAACCTGCGGAAGCTGGACATCACGGGCGTGTCTTGTAGAGACGTCTATGCCAAGCGTAAGTGAACCTGTTGCCGCCCACGGTCCCCTTCGTTCCAGATGCAGATGCAGAGTGAGCACCCTTGATAGCAGTGCGAAGAGTGTGACCCACAGCCCACAGTCCCCTCTCGGACACTCTCCGAGAGTCGTAGCTGGTGCTCCACGGACGGTGCTGGGAGTGGCAGCCCTGACCTGGGTGATCTTTTCTCCATCTTTGGGGGTGTCATCCTTATTTTTCAGCCTGTCACAGATAATGGTGTCTTCCATTAGGCGTGGAGAACGCTTAGATCTGAGAAACGTGGCTGCGCTGGGAACAACCCTGGGCTGCTTCCAGAGGTGTCCCTTTCCCTGGATCTGGACTCACAGCCCAAGGGGCACGTGGACAGCAGCTTCACTGGGAAGTGTGGCCGCTCCCCGGGCTTCCTCGGCCACCTGCCGGCAGCCCCACATCAGGCTCCCCCTTCTGGGGCTCCGTCTACCCCGTAGCGTCACGTCCCCGTGTTGAGCCCCCCAGCCCCCATTTTCTGTTCTCCCCTCCTTTGCTTTTCAGAGTCACCAGTGACACGCCCTGTCTGAGTGCTCCGAGTCCCCCCAGCCCTAGATGTCTTTCCTCGGTGCCCCTTAGCGTGAGGCTGGGAAGATCTCTGTTCACACTGACACCAGCCAGGAGCTGCGGGCCAGCACCGACCCGCAGGGAGCAGCCCGTGGGTTCACCCCTGGGTGGCCGTCTCGTGCAGTATTAGCGCTCCAGGGCTGGGATCAAAGACCAGAGTAAGAGACGACGGTGACCAGTTCTCTCTGGCCTAAAGTTGACTGTTCGCTGCTTTTAAAAGGACCTTAAGCAGACGCCTGGGGGGCTCAGTTGGTTAAGCGTCTGCCTTCGGCTCAGATCATGATCTCAGGGTCCTGGGATCGAGTCCCGCATCAGGCTCCCTGCTCAGTGGGGAGTCTGCTTCTCCCTCTGCTCATGCTTGCTCTCTCTAAATAAATGAATAAATAAATAAACAAAATCTTTAAAAAAATAAAAAGACCGTAAGGTTTCATCTTAAAACCATCTTGGTAGATTTTGGTTTTCATATTCTTTTGAAATGTTCTCCATTGAAAGCAGAGCAGGTGGTACTCCTTCCTAAATGGCTCACCCGGCAGCGGCGGCTGCGGTCTGCACGGGAACACCTCCCACTCAGGACTGAGACGGAAGCAGGTCTCTGAGAACCAGCCGAAGCCCTGGCAGCCCCTCCAGGGTAGGGGGCGTGCCGGCCGCTGCCTCTCTCCGCATCCCTCTTCTTAGTGGGTGTGTCACTCAGGTTCTCCCTCTGAGATGCCCCTCCTTCACGTGGCCGCGGGGGAGCATGGGGTTTCCACGTAGGGCCAGCTCTTCGGGAGACGTGAGCAGTGCTCCCTCCATGGAGGCGGCTGATTTTGCCATCCTGTCGGTTCCTTGCTCCGTCAGAGGCTTCTCCCCACACTGAGATCCATGGCAGCTTGGGATTGTGCGGTGGTTGGTGTTCCGAGTTAGGATTCACTCACATTGGGGAGCTCTCCTGTCAGCAGGCTGGAGGTTCTTCATGGACCTTCCTCTGGGAAGCCAGCCTGCTCACAACTTGCACAGCTCATGGGGGCTCAGCCATGCCCTCTGACCTACCACCTGCCTCTGGGAGCCCCCTGCCCTGCCATGCCCAGCTCCCCGCTTTTCCCTGCCCTCCTGAGGCCTTGGGCTTCATCGTTGCCCCAGCCACCATGCCCAGCTCGGCAGTTGCCTCCTGAGTCCTGTCCTTGGGACCCCAGTGCAAGGCTGGCTGCTCAGGACCTAACAGGTCCTCCTTCCCTGTGCGTGCTCGGACTTGCTTTCTTCTCTTGGCTCCGCTCCACCTTCCACCGTCCCAGGGGACGCGGGTCTAGGGGGCTCTGGTGGCCACATGTCCAGAAAGCCTGACCCCTTCCTGTCTCCTCCTCTCCTCAGCCAGAACAGTGCTGCTCTGAACCCTGCAAAGCCCAGATTCCGGAGGCAGGACGCCAGTCCTGCCCCCTGCCTCCCACCCTCCATTCTGTGGGTGCCCACATGGCCCTGGCTCCACCCTTGGCTCCTCCGTGCTTGCCCAGAGCTCAGTATCTTAAGTCCAACCAGAGCTTGGAATTGGAGGGACTTAGGCTGGCTCTCAGCATTGGTGTTCCATCCACAACAATCTCTGTGCATGTGCACATGAAACACAGTGTCCTCACTTTTCTGGACGGTCAGCTGGTTTCTAGGAGTATCCACCATGTCAAGTTTTTATCAACAGACTGCTTGAGTTTGTTAGGTCGTTGGACAGTATCACCTGAAAGCCACTTGAAGGCAGAGTTCTTTAGGAGTTTAGGAGTAAGCATTCCAAACAGCACCTGGACGAACGCAGGTGCTGACACCTGCCAGGTGTGGGGGCAGATGTGGGAATAAGGCCCCCACGGAGCTCAGCTCAGTTACGCTGTCCTGTGGAGCACAGGTGGGCAGGCAGGTGGGCAGTAACCGTGAGCAGCAGATGGCGTGGCCAGGGGTAAGCTGGGGGTGGGCGAGGGAGAAGGGACGGGGCCAGAGTGAGGTGAACGTGCTCGCCTGCGCGTCTGGAATGCTGGGGACATGGGCAGGCGCAGGAGGACATCTGGAGATTCCTTTTCACCGCTGAATCTTGGCCCCCTAAAAATGGTTGCAAAAACCGGGGAATGATTACCTTATTCAGTGTCCGGAAGTGTTGCATCTGACCCGGTCAGAGCCAGCTTCAGTTTTCATGTTCACAATGCAGGAGCAGTGTTTTTGTGAGTTTGCTCTGAAGACCTTATTGAGGAGAAAATTACTTAGCTTCTGGAATGCGTTGTGGAGGAAAATCAAGGTTGGTTCCTGGCATAGATGGGTTCAGGAGGGAGGAGGCCTGAATTAGGAGGCAGGCCAACATCGCCCTTAATCAGAAACAAAACACACATGCCGCAGAGATCGAGGAGAACGCCAGGTGTGCACCAGGCAAAGGAGAGATCGGAGTCGGGCACAGGGGTTCTCCAAGTGATCCCCCAAATGTGCCCCAGCCACAGCCTCGGCTCTCCCACCTCCGTGTGCTCCCTTAATCTGTGGCCACCAAGAGAGGAGGGTCCCGAGCTTGCCCGCCTTCATCAGTTTCTGGTGTGGCTCCATTGGTTAAAGGAAGACCGGTCACCCCTGGCAAACGCTTGCACCCTGAGTTTTCTGGAGGCTGTAATGGGAAGTGTCCGTTGGCAGGGAGGGAGGGTGTTGAGTCCTGGGAACTGTTCATACTGTCCTGGAAGCAGAGCCATCTTTATCCTTTCCCTGCTGTGTCCGTTCAGGTATAAACCCTCGCGTGAAGTCGGGACGTTTCATGAAAATTCTTCCCGATTACGAGCACATGGAGTACAGAGATGTTTACACCTGCCGTACGTACCTCCTGCTGGCTTTGGCATTTGCGGGCGAGCACGGCCGAGAAGCTGCATGGAGAGGGACCTCTAACTCCGGGCACGAGGACTGCTTGGGTGTTAAGAGCGAGCTGCCCTCCTTGGCTTTTGCTGTTTCTTACCTTGGCTGTTTTCTGTGGCTCAGCCACAGCCGAGGCCACAGCTGAGCCGTGGCCCTGGGTCGGCTGCACACGTGGGCCGGGATTCCTCAGCAGCTTTGGGGTTTTTGGGTAGTACCAACAAGGCCACATTTTTTTTTTCTATTAAAGATTTTATTTATTTGATAGAAAGACAGCCAGAGAGGGAACACAAGCAGGGGGAGTGGCAGAGGGAGAACAGGCTTCCCGCGGAGCAGGGAGCCCGATGCGGGGTTCGATCCCAGGACCCTGGGATCATGGCCTGAGCCGGAGGCAGATGCTCAGCGACTGAGCCACCCAGGTGCCCCTGTTGGTACACGTTTTAATATTTGCCGTTTATTGAGGCTGAGGGGAGAGGACAGGGTAGAAGCCTTAAAACACTTCTGCTCCAAAATTAAATGTGTTTTGTTTCTAGATTTCATTAGTCACATCGTTACAGCATATGTGAATTAAAAAAAAAAATCATACAGTGGACCCACCCTGGGCAGAAGTGAGTAGAAGCACTTGATTATTTAGAACCGGATTCCCCTCCCGATTGGCATTACTTGGGTCTAGAAGTTTCCCTGAGCCATGTTGCACACATCTCCACTCTGTGTTAGGTTGAGCTGAAGTGGAAAGTGAATGTTTGTTGTCAAGAAGACATCACACATACCTGCTTGCACTAAAAGGCGTTTTTACATTCCTGGAAGCACACGGCACTACTCCCTCGTTACTCCCACCCCTCTGAACCCTCCAAGTGACTGTGTCGCCTGCCTAGAGCAGACCCGCTCCTGAGTCTTGCAGATGCACAATTTCTAACAAAACCTGTGGGAGCAGAGGAAATAGAGGCGCTTATGGGATCATTCCTAACCCCCGTCAGACTGTGGACAAGCAGCTGGAGTGTGTTTGCTGGTCCCGTGGAGACCATCCTGGCGTCAGTGCAGATTCGTGGACTAAGCCTGCTTCTGGGTGTGTGCAAGGACTGGGCACAGCTCCTGGCAATGCCCACCTTGTTCGTGTCATCAGGCCCAGAGCTGAACTGCTGGAGTAGAGACTGGTGACCGCGGGGCTTGTCGGGAGGGTGAACGAGCAGGCGTGAGGAGCTGGCTGAGCTATCAAGGGGGTCGGGTGGGTCAGGGGGAGTCAGAAGGCATGAATTGGGTTCTTCCTGAATCCTCTTGGATGTTACCTCTAGCACATTTTGTCCTAGATTGACCCACCCCCCCGGTTAGCAGTCAGTGAGCAAAGGGGGCCTCATCCCGCCCAACCTTCCAGAAATATCCACTCTGATGACTGGCGTGTGAGGACCTTGGGACCTGGCACTGTTTCTGTCTCCCTTATCCACTTGCCCTATTCCTGGAGCTCTTGAGACCCCGTGTTCCCTGGTTCCCTGGTCTCTCTGGTCTCAGGCTCAGCAGCCTCAAGCCAAAGACCCTGTCCCAGGGAGAGGCAGGTCAGCCCATCTAAAGCTAACCTTTGAGGAGCTTTGTGGCCCCACATGAGCTGCTTCGGCTGTGTCACTTTTGCTCATTTTTTTTTTTTTTTATCAGGCTGCATGTTGTTGCCTGATAGTAGTCAGTGTCTTTAAGGTGTTGGGAGCATCTCGGGAGAATGTGTTGTGTTAACGACGTAGCTAACACATGTCCTTGTGTGTGAATTGATAGTAACTGTCTGTAACCACAGGGCTCTGGGTTTTGCGGTTCCCATCTAGAACTCTGGTGGCGCTCCAGATAGCTCTAGTAGATACAGGGAGTTTGGTGGAACATTGCGCACCACTGGTGAGGAGATGGGTAGGCCACTTTTAATGCTTGGGCATAGGTGACGGGGTGTTTGGCTGCACAGGTAGAGTCTAATGGGAAGCCTCCTCCAGAGTCCAGTCTGCCAGGTGGGGCCAAGATCACACAAGGTGTCCTGAGGAAGGGGGAGACCACTGGGAAGTCTAGAAACAGGTGGGTGCTCCTAGAGAGGTCGGAGGGCACCGGCGGGAAGTGCATCTGGGAGAGGGAGACCACCTGCCAATTACCTGGCCAAATTCCTGGAGCCTGTGGGATGGTGTTCCTGATCCTGTTCTGGATGTTGATTCTGTATCCTGCAACTTGACGCAAGGCGGGCATCCTGCCTTGTTCTGACCTTAGAGGGGAAGCTCTCAGCTTTTCCCCGTTGAGTATGATGTTAGCGGGGCTTTCTCATATATGGCCTTTGTTATGTTGCGGAATGTTCCTTCTAGACCTTTGTTGAGAGTTTTTTATTATAAGTAGATACTGAATTGTATCAAATGCTCTTTCTGCATCTATTGAGGACGTACGATTTTTTTTTTTAAAGATTTCATTTATCCATTTATCAGAGAGAGAGAGAGAGTGCAACAGGCAGAGGGAGATGCAGGCTCCCCGCTGAGCAGAGAGCCTGATGCGGGACTCGATCCCAGGACCCCAGGACCATGACCCGAGCCAAAGGCAGACACTTAACCAACTGAGCCACCCAGGCGCCCCTAGGACATATGATTTTTATCCTTCATTTTGTTAAGGTGCTGTTACTACATTGATTTGTGGATGTTGAACCATTTATCCCTGGGATAAATCCCATTTGATTGTGGTCAGTGATCCTTTTAATGTACTGTTGAGTGGGATCTGCTTGTTATTTGTTGAGGATTTTTTGCATCCACGTTCATCAGGGATACTGGCCTGTAGTTCTCTGTCCTTGTGGCCTCCTTGTTTTGGTATTGGGGTCATTGTGGCCTGGTGAAATGAGTTTGGACATGTCTCCTCCTCTGATTTTGTTTTCATTTACCAGAAGCTACTAGCAAGTGGCAGGAGATATATTAGTTGCCTTTATGATAATCTTTTGGACAAGAGTCACGGGTGGGAACACCCATCACCTGAAACCCCTGCCCTGCAGCCTCAGATGTGGTGGTTCAGGAACGACTGAGGGCCGTGCTAGTGGAGGGCCGGCTGTCCTGCGTGAGGACCACAGCAGCTGCCCGCGGACTGCTGGGGAAGAGCGCCAGCTCCCAGCCCATGCTGTGCCGAGGACAGTCGGATCTTTTGGGTTTGTTGTTTGTTGTCTAATGTGCCAGGAGTTTCCCGCTTGCCTTCTTAAGTGGCCTTCCTGTTGGCAGATGAGAATTCACTGGCACTGACTAGGATGGGGCGTTTTCCTGCTAGCACTTGAGCTGAGAGGTCCTTTAGCCAGCTCAGATGATTTCCCCCATTTTGGGGAACAGGGGTGTCTTGAGCTGAGAATGTTTTTCTGAATACGGCCACACTGACCTTGGGGACCAGTGGTTGGAGCAGCCTGCGAGCTGCCTTGTTTGGAATAAATACGAATTATTCTGAAAGGTCTGCGTCCTGCCTTGTGTGGCTGAAGCAGTGGTGTTTTCTCGATTGTCATGGATTCTTTCTTGTCGAGGCTCTCTCTGCCCGTGAACTGAAGTTCTGCAGTGTCCTGAAGCCCATGACAATAAAGCACCTGAGGGGTCTAACACAGTTGCCTCCACGTCTCAGGTCCCCTGTCCAGTCTCTGTAACCTGATCCTGTTCTCCTCTCCTGACCCGTGGTCAGCGGCTGTTTGGAAACATTGTGGGGAGGGCTCTTTGAGCTGGGGGTCTTCTGCAGGTGAGAAGCCCCTTTGGGTCTGGGGAGTGCCTTGCTCCAGGACGTCTCAGCCAGGCCCTTCCTCTACCCGTGCAGGGTCAGGCAGAAGGTCCAGTGGGAGCATGAGGGAAAATGCGTGAACATGTGCACACTCCTTGTATTGTTTGTTCAGGGGCTGGCCTTCCCAGCAGGGCCCCGGGCATTAGAAGGTAACTCTGAACATGGCCCCCCTCCTGGTATGGACACCCAGTTTTTGTGTGACTCAGGTGGACACTTTCAGTCTGGAGGCACCCTGGGCTCATGCTGGACTCTGTTCTGGATGCTTGTAGTTTTTAAAGTGTCTGTCCTAAAACACAGACCTTACATTTGCATGAGGAAATGGCTTGTCCCGCCCAGGGGTTAGCTCAGAGGTTACCTGCTCGCAGGCCGGCGGGCGATGCTGGTCTCCGACTCTTTCTTGGACTGTTATGAGGGTGGTCCCAGGCTGAGCGAGTCAGTGTTGTGTTAGCAAAAGCCATGAAGGGCACAATGATTTTTCTAACATGTGCAGAGCTTATACATCCAGAGAGTGCTACCCCTCCAAGCAGACAGATGGGAGGCAGCGTTTTTAATTCAAAGGGCTGGACCTTTTAAAGCAAAACAGGGAACTCTCCTTTCAAAATTTCCAAGAGTCTCGCATGTTCTTTGAGCAGTCCAGTGGGCCTGAGATCGTAAGACTGATTTGGAAAGAACCAGACCATCGCTAGCAGGCAAGCTGGGAGCTAGGGGGGAGAGGGAGATAAGAGGGGACGGTCACGCTGAATGGGCCCATTTATTTTATTCTCCAGTATTTTAGCATGAAAATTTAAAAATCTACCAAGAAAAAAAAAATGGAGGGGATTATGGAGCAAACACCCACTTACCATCACCAGATCCTACAACCCTCAGCAACACTTTATTATCACATAGCTGTTCATCTGCCATCTCTCCATCATTCCACCTTATTTTTTGATACATTTTAAAGTAAGTGCCAGATACTATCACATTTTACCCCTAAACCCTTGAGTGTACATGTCACTGTTTGGAGTTCATTATTTGCTTAGAGTTCCTGGTCCTGCTTATTATTGCTTGCTTATTAAATGCAAAACCTATCAGGGTATGACCATAAGATAACCAGACTGAATTTACTTTGCATCTTGAAAACCAGCTCAGAACATTGTACACAGGATGAATGGCAGGTGTCTGGGAGACAGTACACGCTTGTTAGAAACCTGTGTTCCTAGGCTGTGTACCCTAGGTTCCTCGGGTATCAGTGGTTGCCGGCACACTTGAGAGGCCTGAGCTGCCTCTGGCCTCACTTTCCTCGTCTCTGTACCCCGGACCAAGGTGGAGACCTGATAGCCGCATCTGAGAGTCCCATCTTCGTCTCTGGGTCCCATTTGGCCCTGCTGGCTGGGGCTCCCTTCCCGCGGAATGGTGTGATCCTGCAGCGCCGGTGCTCCAGCCCATCCCTGGCTTCCACTGTGTATTCGCCAGGGTTCGCCAGACAAATAGAACCAGTTTCTTTAGATGAATTTATCATAAGGAATTGGGTCCCACAGTTAATATAGGCTGAAAAGTCCCAAGATCTGCCATCAGTAAGCTGGAGACCCGGGGGAGCCGAGGGTGTAGTTGGGGTCTGAAATCTGGCAGGCTCGACACCTTGGAAGAATCCCTGTTTCCATTTCACGTCCTAAGTTAGAAAAGACTGATGTCCCAGCTCACATAGGCAGGCATTCCCTGCTTGTGGAAAAGCCTTTTCTTTCCAGCTATCAACTGATTGGACAAGGCCCACCACACCAGGGAGGGCAATCAGCTTTACTCAGTGCACTGATTTAAATGCTAATCTTATCTGGTAACACCCTCACAGGTACACCCAGAATAGTGTGGGACCAGATGTGTTGTCTTGGGTCACGGGTGGCACCTGTTGCCGGGACAGGGCTGTTGGGCCTGTGTGCCCAGCAGAGTGAGCAGTTTACTCTAGTGACAATTTTTAGTCTAACTGCTTTATAGACACACCGCATGAACAGATGCCAGTGCCCCAGTGTTATAAAAATCTAGTCCCCGTCTGCCTTAGTCCCTAGGAAAGCGGTGTCCCTGTGTCTGACTCCCTCACTGATGGGAGGCTCACCACTTTACAAGGGTGCTCACTCCGTGTCTTTCAAGGCAGTGTCATTGGCACTGGCCACTTAGAGCCTGGGTTTCAAAGTGGCCCTGTTTGTTTTATTATGGTTTTGAAAGACATTTTCCTTCTTAGAATTCTTTGGAAACTCTTTAAGCAGTCTGCTGAAATCCGTATTTATGTCCAAGGCTCTGTTCCCAGCCGCCGTGAGTGGTTTGTCTGCAGTTCCCGGCTCCTGGTCTCGCCCTTCTCCTGTGTCACTGTGGAGTGCAGACTGGCCGGCTGCAGCATGAAGACCTGCTCTCTTTCTCTCCCTGTAGTGCTCCATCGGTACAGACACATTCTGGGGCTGTGGCAGCCAGACATCGGGCCCTATGGAGGACTGCTGAACGTGGTGGTAAGTCCAAGAGTGCGGTGCGTGGGCCTTCGCCCGCTTCAACCAGAGGGGCAAGCCCGCTGTCGCCTGCGTGACGGCATGGCCATCGTTAGGGGCCAGAGGCTATTCGGTAATTGGTTCTCAGCCTTCTCGCTGTGTCCCTGGACTTTGTAGTGATGAGCCACTGGTTGCCTCGAGGGCATTTTCCCTCCCATAGCCTGGTCCCTGCCTCCTGGACACCTTGGGCCCTTGCGCTCACGCCTGTGGGACACTCTAGTTTTGGGTTGTGCACTAGTTTGTTCTAAATGAGGACTCCTGGGAGCCTTGGACGCTCACCCTCTGGCCCTCGGGGTCACATGGAATCGTAGCAGGTGCCCCATCGCTGAGCCCTAGGCGCACCGCAGCTGTGACTCGCCCTGTGCGCCTTCTGTTGTTCCACTGACGTGTGTGAGCATTTGCCCTGTGAGGAAGACGCAGTTCAGCGGCCTGGGAGGCACGCCGGGGTGCCGCGTCAGAGTGAGTCACCCAGCAGCCATGGCGGCCTTGGGACCAGGCTGGGCCTCAGAGCGAAGTCTGAAAGTGGGGCTATGAGGCCCCGGTTTTAAATCTTTTCTCACCCACCATAGTAATGCTGGGGTCAGGCCAGCGTCCTTGTGATGGGTGGGAGCACCAACGGTGGGCACTTTTTGGGGAAACCGTATTTCCACCATCTGAGAGCATCTCCCCACAGATCCCTTATCACTTACTGTTGTAGCTTCCAGGGGCCGCCATACCAGTGACCACAAACCGGGTGGCATAAAACAACAGAAATGTATTCTTTCGCTCTTATGGAAGCCTGACATCTTCAGTGTGCCTGACGTCCTCAGTATTCCTGATGCCTCAGGCAGCGTGCCCGACGTCCTCAGGCAGCATTCCTGATGTCCTCAGTGTGCCCGACGTCCTCAGTACGTATTCCTGGGCTGAGATCAAGGGTCACCATGCTTCCTCTGAAGACTCCAGAGAAGGGTCCTTCCGCCTCTTCCAGCTGCAGGGCCCAGGCAGCCCTTGGCTGTGGCCACACCCCTCCTACCTCTGCCTCCATCCGCAATGTGGCCTCTCCCCTCTGTGTGTCTCAGACCTCTGTCTGCCTCCCTCTTAGAGGGGTACAAGTGATGGTTTTTAGGGCCCGCCTGGATGAGCCAGAATCCTCTGAAGATCCTCAACTTCACATCTGTAAAATCCTTTTTTTGCCGTGTAAGGTGATGATGTGCACAGGTTCCAGGGATTAGGACGTGGACTTCCTTGGGGGCCGTTATTTAGTGATCAAGATTACAGGGCGGAAGAGGGGCCTTACTGCGGAGAGATGTGGCCAACAGCACCCATCCCAGTGATCCATGTTAACTAACCAGCAGTAGGACTCTGACTTCAGGCCCCTCCTGGTTTCATGTGAAGCACACAGCCCCACTTCTCTGGATCTCCTGCCAAAGTACCTGACCCGAATCTAATCACGGGCACCTCATCACACAGACTGCAAGGGTCAGGCCCCAGAAGCACTGCTCTCCGCCTTCCGAGTGTCGGGCTCACCGAAGGCCGGAAGGGCTGATGAACTGAGAGCCATGGTCCTGGTAACTGTCACCAGTGTGGGGAACATGGGGGCCAGGGCCAGCAGAAGAGGACCAGAGGGGACAGCCTGCCTGGCGGGAGTGGGGGCTGCCTTGGAGGCAGGCGCTCTGTCCTGCCATCAGCCCGACTGAGGTCCCATGAGGGGCTCTCCTGGCCAGGCTGCTGCTGAGAGACCACAGTATTTCTAGTTTCAGCTGCCTTGTCTTCCTGACTCTGGCTATTTGCCCTTTTCCTGTCCCCTGCACGCCTGCTCTTTTCCCCGTGATGGTGGACGTTGTTGTTAAGGAGTTACGAGCTGGATGAGTCCCTTCCCTCAAATGGGGTCGGGCTGGTCAGGTGGACAGGGTGTTCGTTGAAGACCACTGGGTCTCTTAGGGATGTGCTGTAGCTCTTTGTCTAAGGTCCCAGTGCTGGGGGTTCTCCCTTCATGCCCTGGGGGTTCCTTGAGGACTCCTGTCCCTGGCTGCTTGGAGCTGGATGGTCCAGCACGCTGCCCAGCCTGTACTGGGCTCGGTGAGTGGTTGGAACCCGGGCGCCTTGGCAGATCCTTGGGCTCTGCCTCCGCATGGCTCCCTCCTTTCTACTCCAGCCCCGCCAGCCTCCTTGAACTCTGATCTCTGTTTGCTCAAGTTAGAACACTGCCCGGTTCTGCCTGGCCCCCTCTGAGCCCCGGGGTCTGGAAGGTGCCTCTGGCAGGAATCCAGGGGATGGCAGGGGTGACCTCTTATTTCTCTGGGATGACAGCGTGTGTGGCCTGTTGTCCGGGATCACCTTGGGGCTCACGGCAGTCCCGTTACTCTACTATGGCCAGGATATAAGTCTGGCCCCATTTTTTTTTTTTTTTTTTTGGTGACCTTTGTTTTCCTTCTTATTGTGTCTTCTTGAATATATCAGTCAAAGTTCCTTTAAAGTATGTGATCTCCGGTTCAGCTTACAGTCTCTCTTTTTCCTCGGGATTTTCGGGCGTGGCAGTTGGCTGCTGGCGTGCCCGCACACGTGGCCGTGGATGCCGCTGCCCCCACGAGGGTGCCTGGCCTCTGGCCTGGGGTCACAGCCAGCAGAGCGCCTTGCCCTGACCAGGTGTGGTGAGCGCCGATCTCGTCCCTGGTGGCCCCGTCCACAGAGTGTCCCCTGAGGGCTGGGCACCTCCTGCTCTCCAGGGCCTGCATTTCCCCTAGCGAGCCAGGGATACCGCTGATCCCTCTCCTGGCTGGTTGGCCTCTTAGCAGCCACCTTCTGCTTGGCTTCTCCATCTCCTGCCCCTCATGGGTTGGGATCCAGAAGGTGCCTCAAGGGCAGAGCTGTATACACTGTGGGGCCTGCTTCTTTGGGATCCTGCCCTAGCGCGCTGGCCTCTGCGGCAGCCCTGGGGGTTCCAGCGCCCCGCCACCCCTCTGCCCAGCCACCAGCGGTCAGGGACCTGGGGCAAAGGGGTGGGAGGCCCTGCCCCCTTCAGGCCTGTCCCTTGATTTTAGGCTCTCGGTTCTCGTCTTGGGGCCACTGTGCATGTTCCCTGATGTCTTCAGGCAGCATTTAAACTGTGGTGTGTGCAGACAGCTGGTGTCAGCAGGCGGGGCTGGTTGGCCTAAGCCCCTGGGTTCTAGGCAGGAGAAAAGTCTTGCGGTCTCATTTTTAGATGCTGTTCAGTCCCTTGCCTGTCATGTTTTGAAAGGTAGCTGCTCATTTTTAGTGCTTTACGGACATCTGTATCGTAGGATGTGGCACTTTACTGAGGCTCTGTAGTGTGGCCGTCCTCCTCGAGCTTGCTGTGTGCTCTCTTCACAGAAGCCCTGGGGCTGGGGGGTGTCTCGGTGCCTGGCCCCCATGTCGTTGCCGCTGATGCTTCACTGGGAATGAAGTCTGGTGCCCTTTGGGGAGTGCTGGTTTTCTGATCTTGCTTCCCCCCCTTGGTTGCACACACCCTCGGAGGACCGGAATCCCTAGGCCACGGGACCGGCCGTGAGCACGTCTCTCAGACGGCACGTCGGGGCCTTGGTGTGGGCCGTTCTGAGCTCGCCTCGTGTGGGCCCCGCGGGGACTCTGGGTGCTCTTTTACTCTGTATTTTGCTCACCAGGTGGGGTTTTGGGCAGGGATAAATATTGCTTCATGTTCTGTGTGGAGAAAGTGTTAAACACTTTATGTTTATGTTTAACATCCCTGGGGAAAGCCTTGGATTTAGAATGTTCCTCACAGGACAAGCCAGACTGCTCCCCGCGTGGGCAGGCTGCCTTCCATGCTTTAGGCAGGGAGGGTGATAATTGTTTTTCTTACTGGCAGTGATTAATAGAGTTAAAAAAAAATTGCAGCTTCTGAAAGCAGGGGTTAATTAGGGGAAAATGGAACCATGACAGAACAGGGCCAGCTCGCCCTCGTTGGATCAGGTCGGATTGGATCGGATCGCTGCAGAAATGGGTAAGCCGGAGCCGGCCACTGGGCACCCAGGCTCCCCTGACTATGGGCTGGCCCTCTGGCCTCGGGGAATGTGTGGCGTGCTGTGCCCGAGGACCACTCCCCACTCTGACCCCGTCTCCGCCGCGGCCACCGTGTCGCTCTGACCCCGTCTCCACTGCGGCCACTGCGTCACTCCGACCCCGTCTCCACTGCGGCCACCTCGTCGCTCTGACTTCGTTGCTCTGACCCCGTCTCTTCCGTGGCCACCTCGTGCTCTGACCCCGTCTCCGCTGCGGCCACCATGTCGCGTGCACTGGAAGAGTGATGGCAGCGTGGTCGCCCTCTGTTGTCGAGGGTGGCAAGCCCACAGCACCTGCCTCCTCCCTTTGCTTCTGATTTTCAGGCATTTCAAAGCAGATGCCAGGCCCATGCCATTTCGTCTGTTCATACTTCCATGTGGATCTTTAAAGAACGTGGGTGTTTCTATGCGCGTGGGCCTTGTCCTTGCCCCGCCGTACAGACGTGGTGGGGACGCCACGCACGACGCGGCCTGAAGCCTGGTCCACATGCGTCTCCCCGAGGCCTGCAGAGCTGCTTTGCACGAGGCTTGCTTGGAACCGAGTCTGCAGCAGCCCTCACGTGGCATCTGTGTGTGTGCCTCGCAGCTCTCTGCTGCCGGGAAGCAGCCCCCTGTTACTGGTGGGCCAGGGGCCGCCTGGGGGCCTCCTGCTTCTTTCTAGTGTCATCTGGTCTTTCCCTTCACTTCAGAGCCGGCCCTTCTCTTCAAAAGGCTTGCCTTTATGTTTAGGTTCAACTACCTTTTTTTTTCCTTCCTGTTTTTAAACAAAATCTACTTATTTTTTCTTTCAGAATTTATTTTTTACTGAAGCGTAGCTGACACGATACTGCATGAGTTTCAGCTGGGTGACACAGTCTGGGATGCTGTGCTCACAAGCGCATCTGACTTATTCCTGTGACCTATTCATCGCGCAACTGGGAGCCTGTCCCTCTCCCTCCCCTTCGCCCATATGGCCCGTACCCCTCACCCCGGCACCCATCTCTTTATTCCCTGTATTTATCCTTCTGTTTCTGCTGCTTTTGTTTGTTTTGTTTCTTAAATTCCACGTATGAGTGAAATCCTATGTATTTGTCTTTGATTTATTCTACTTAGCGTAATAGTCTCTAGCTCCATCCATGTTGTTGCAAATGGCACGATTTCATCCTTTCTGATGATTGAGTAGTATTTCATGGTACATACATACCACATCTTCTTTATCCAGTTACCTGTCGATGGGCACTTCGGCTGTTTCCGTATCTTGCTTTTGTAAATAATTGGTGCAGGCATGTATCCCTTTATTTTCAGGTTTATTGAGGAATAGTGCCCAGGTAAAATTGTAAGGTGCGTGACAAGTACGTCTCGGTGATTGGTATTTGTACACTTTGTGCAAGGGTTCCGGCTGTCTAGGATTAGCATGTCTACCACTTCACATTTTTATTCTTTCTCTTTTGGTGAAAACATTTAAGTTCTACTCTCTTAGAAGATCTCAGTGTTGGAGTGCCTGCCTCAGTCGTTAAGTGTCTGCCTTCGGCTCAGGTCATGGTCCCAGGGTCCTGGGATCGAGCCCTCTGTCTGGCTCCTTGCTCAGCGGAGAGCCTGCTTCTCCCTCTCCCACTCCCCCTGCTTGTGTTCCCTCTCTCGCTGTGTCTCTCTCTCTGTGAAATAAATAAATAAAATCTTAAAAAAAATGATCTCAGTGTTGATGCAGTGTTATCAACGACAGTCACCCTGTTTACAATCGATAACTACTTTTAATTTACACGCACTTGGTTGATGGGCCATGCTTGTTGTGGTGCGCTAGATGAGGGCACCGCAATGTTCCCTGGCCCCAAGAGTCTCAGCGGGGCTGCCGTGTGGGGACAGGGTGGTTCTTGCGGACAGGTTAGGGTGGGGACCTTCTCCCTTGGCACCTCATCCTGAGCCTTCTGTGGACTTGTGCCCTTTCTCCTCCCCGCAGGTGGATGGCTTGTTCATCATTGGCTGGATGTACCTGCCTCCCCATGACCCTCATGTGGACGACCCAATGCGATTCAAGCCCCTGTTCAGAGTCCACCTGATGGAGAGGAAGTCTGCCACGGTGGAGTGCATGTATGGCCACAGAGGGCCCCACAACGGCCACATTCAGGTGAGTGCTCGGAGCTGCCTGAGGCGTGGCAGCTGTGTGCAGGCAAGGGGCTAGGGCTCCTTTGTCCTCCCCGGACCCAGTGGCAGCCTGGGTGGGGGTGCTGGCTGCATGGCTGTGGTGTCCCAGCTGCAGACCTGTGTCCACACCAAGCAGTGAACATGGGAGGAAGTGGGGGCTCAGCCCCACTCCGGGGTGCGTTAGCGATATGCGGGTGTTGTGATGCAGCCCTTCAGAGATGCACTCGCTGAGACCCTCCCGCCCCCCACCGCCCAGGGATTCTGCGTTCGGTTGAAACTGATTCTTGTTTTTGTCGTGATTCCTCACTGCTCCCTGGTTTCCTCTTTGCAAGAGTATAAACTTGGAATAAGACACTCCGCTCTCTGATAATGGTTCAGCAGACAGCCATCCCAATCAGCACGTGTGTTCCCTAACACACGACGAAAGCACCAGCCCTTTTCCTGCTGTAAGATGTCCTCCTGGGAAGACGCACATGCACCTTCCCCTGAGAAGGAAGTGCGTGCTCAGGGTGGCTGAGTTCCCTTCTTGGACTGGCTGAGGTTTGGTGGCATCTTGGGCTTCTGTACACATGTGGGGTCTGTCGGTGCGGGACAGGTTGGTCGTGCCACCCATGACTGACTCGCTCCCCTCTCCTTTGTGGTGAACGCTCAAGATTGTGAAGAAGGACGAGTTCTCCACCAAGTGCAACCAGACTGACCACCACAGGATGTCTGGCGGGAGGCAGGAGGTGAGCCTGTCCCCCTTCTGTTCACATGGCGCAGCTGTGAGGTTGGATGGTTTGACATCTCCACTGTGCCCCCAACGAAGGGCCGTCTCCCCCGGCTCATCCCGATGTGTGCGTCTGACCTTTGCGTCAGGACATCCTGTGTACGTGTCCATGCACACAGGCTTTCATTCCCTGCCGCCCCTCGGAACGAACGAGCCCCAGAGAAATCGTTCCCTCTGATCGGCTCTCTTTCGCCCCTTTGGCGAGAGTGTCCGTGTGCTGCTGGAGATTTCTTCTTGGATGTGAGTTTGCATGGAGGCCAGGGGGCTTTTTTGGAGCCTCTGTGTTCTCCCCACAGACGGGCCTGGTGGCTGAGATTTCCAGGTCTTGGCAGTGCAGCACGGAGGCCTGCCTCGGAGCCACACCCGCAAGCTTCTTAGGACTTCCTTTTATTTGCACGGATACTTTCACATTGCCCTTGAGTTTTCCTTTTCTGAGGATCTAAGTCATACTGCTGTTTCAAAACATTCTTAAGAAAAACTTGAACTTTTAAAATGTAGGATGCTCATTGAACTTACATTTATTTAATAGCTGTGTATTTCTCAGGTTCTGAGTCCGACAGCTTCCCTGTTAGCCAGAGAATTGCAGGGAGGTGTAAGGTAAATTCATACGCATGCATGTTTGCGTCTGAAGAGTGCACACAGGTGCTCGCTAGAATCCTTTGGAGGTAGATGAGGCCCTGTTTTCTCACATACACGGCCTGTGAAGGTGACGGTGCATTTTTCATTCACAACACTGTTGTTGAAGCCTGCACGTACAGTCACAAACATGACATACAGGTGAGTGCTCTAGTCCGCGTTTCAGTGAAAAAGGTCAACGTGTTTTCTGAGAATAGACACTCCAGCTGTGGACCTCAAAAAGGCCAGATAGTGTATTTCTGGAAATACATATGCTGGGATCAGAAAAAGGTCTTGTAAGCCGCGTCTGTGTGATTTTGAAGTGGAATGGTATTTTTTCTGATTATAAAAGTACTAACACAAGTCCTTTGGGGAAACTCTTAAGAACACGTGCACGCTGGGTGGGAGCAAAGCTTTGCTGGTCTCGGGACTGTGGCGTCAGTTTGCATTTCTGCGACCACCACCGTGCCCGAGGCTGAGGTTAGGGGCCTGGCTAAGGGCTTCTCGAGGTTGCTCTCTCTGGTGCTGGTATGTTTCTAGTTGATTTGTAGGAGCTTTTTTTTCATATTAGAAAACCAATCTTTCAGGTGTAAGTTGCAAGTATTCTTCCTCATGTTTTTGTCTTTTAGTTTGATTTATGGTATATTTTTTTCCAGGAGTTTTCTTGTTTTTAATTTTTATGTAGTCAGAGGTGTCTGTCTTCCCCTGCCGAGCCCATTGGGGAGATGCTGTGCCACTGGGCAGAGCAGAGGGAGAACTTGCTGTGTGGCCCTGCGGTCCCTTTGTCCCTCTCAGCTGCCTGCGGTCTCTCGCCTGCTTTTCTCTCTGTCTCTCCCCTCAGCCATGTGGGGACAGGGTCTCCTGCCGGTTCAGGAGTCAGCCAGAAATGTCTTCACTTTCTCGTGGAGTCTTTCAGACCCAGGGGAATGGTTTCAGGCCCCAGGGAGAGAAGACAGGCCGTGGGGGGATATCGCCATGTTCCTGATAGCTCTGCACTCCGAGGTGAAAGGCTGAGCTGCGCACTCTGGCTGTCCTGTGCTCTGGTGGCTGATGGGCATGTAAAATCCTGGGGCCACAGGGGTTGGAGGGCTCCTGGCGGCCAACAGGGCTAGCAGGGGAACAGGGCGGTGCGCGGTCTCCTGGGCGGGACGGGGGCGGGGGATCCTCTCATGCCCCCAGGGGCTGGCCTCGTGCTGCATTGTCCTCCACCCTGCGTGGCACTGTGAGAGCTTGTGGGGGATGCCCTGGCGGTCCCCCTCTGCAGGCCGTGCTCTCTGAGAAGTGCTGCCCGTGAAGGAACCAGGGAGTCTCCCGCCGTTCCCCTGTGAAGGCCACAGCCGCCCTGCAGGTCTCTGGCTGATGCACTGCATCTTGCTCACCAGCTCTCCCACTGCTCACACCCAGCTCCCGTCCCAAGGTTTCTGCCGCCACGTCCGCCTTTGAATGCCAAGTCCAGACTGCCGTGGTGTGGTCTGATGTCTCAGGCTGCAGTGCCCTTCGCCTGCCCCTCACGATGCCTCCGGGTGACCTGTGTGCTTTGCACACTGCTGCCCCTCTCCTGGGTTCCTGTGAGCAGGGCAGGCCCTCAGGCCTACCCAGACTCGTCCTCCCTGGGCTCCTTCACAGGTGATGGCAAGGCCCAGCTGCCATCTTCCCTGCCCACCCTGGGCCTGCCCAGCCCCCCAGCCTGAGGCTTTTGGAGAACTGGGGCCTGCGAGGAGGAGCAGAGACAGGGAAGAGAGGGAGGAGTGGGGACGGCCAGGCCCCACCCCTGCGATGCTGTGGGCGCCCCTTGTCCCTCCTGACCAGGCCGCGGGCTTCTGCTGGCCCCACTCATGGTGCGCTCTGCACTTGGTCGTGCAGACTCCTTGACTGGACACAAGTTGCTTTTGTTTCTTTGTTTCATGGACTGAAATGATACCTTCTCACCATCGAACATGCAGTCGTGGGAGCCCCACCCAGGGGCAGCCCCCACACCCGTCCTCCATCATCCCTGCTTGTTCTCCGAATTTTGTTTATGTAACGGATCTAACTCCATCTAATTTGGGTCTTTTTTTTTTTTTTTTAAGCTTTTTAGCTCTTCCAGAAGTATTTTCCAGGCTCATTAGAATTCTTTATAATCTTTATTTTTAAAGCACTGTTCCATCCGTCATCCGTAGGGTATTGCGTGAGTGTGACTGCTCTCCTGCGGTCAGACACGCGGTTTGTGCTCCCCGCTCCTGACCTTCTGCTTGGGTGACTTGCTCTCTGAGAGCCTCAGTCCTCATCTGTGAAATGTGGAGCCCTGTGGGGGTTGGAGGACTGAGTAGGGCAGGGCGTGTGAGTGCCTTAGCGCCAGGCTGAGAGCCTCCGGGTGTTACTGCCGGAACTCTGTGCAAAAACCTTCCCTGGTTTTTGGATCATACAGAAATGGGATTGCCAGGTAAAAGGCCCTGAAGATGTTCCAGATTCTTGTTATGTGTTGTTAGTTTGCTGGTCCTCGTTTACCACCCACCAGGGTGGCTGAGCCCCCCGCCTCCTGTGCTCCTGCTGGCCTTCCTCTTGGCCCTGGTGGAAACAAGGCCCCTTAGCACGTGGGCTCGGGAGTAGCTCTGATTCTGCTGCTTACTAGCTGGGTGACTTGGGGAGGGTTTCTCAAACTCTGTGACCCCACACCTCTGTAGAACAGGAAAGGTGTGAGCCCCCATCTCCTGGACTGGTGTGCAGATGGAGGAGATGATTATGTAGTGCCAGCACCTGGTGAGCAAGCTCTGGGTACATATTATTCTTGTGTGTGTTCTGGGCCCCTGTGTTTCTCCTTGTGCATGCATAGCTCATGAGATAATTTCATAATGAACATATCTCAAAGGTCTTTGCTCTGAGTAATTGGGTCTGGTTGGTATTTCTAATGACTGACCTTTTCATGCAAAGTAAATAAGATTATGACTCCGTACAAGCCAGCCTCATGGTATTTAGCTCAAGTCTGATTACTCACCGTGGTAACATAAAATCCCTACTTGTTATATTAGCTCACTTCCATTTTTATCTTTTCGTTATCTGTTTGATTTTTTAGGGCCTTACACCATTTGAGTGGAAGGTTTTGAGGTGAAGTCTAATTTGTCAAGTTTTTTCTTTTATGATTATTGTTTTCGGTGTCTTAAAAGAGTTTGCCTATCCCTAAGCTGCAGAGTCTCCTCTTCAGAAGTTTGGTAGCTTCACGTTGTGTTTGGGTCTGTGGCCCATCTCGGATTATTTCTTGTGTGTGGTGTGAGGCAGGGATTGTGGTCCTTTTCTCTGTATGGCTGTCCAGTCGTTGGAGCATCATTTGTGGAGGAGACTCCACTTCCCATTGGGTGGATTGGATGTATTTGTCGGAAAGCAGCTGACAAGATAGATGGGTCTGTTTCTGGGCTCTCTGTTTCATTCCGTTGGTGTATTTGTTGACCCTGATGTTTGTACTACTGTCTTGATTACTGCAGCTTTATAGTAAGTCATACCATGAACTGGTGCGGTTCCTCCAGCTTTGTTCTTTTGCAAGATTGCTTTGGACGTTGTAGGTTCTTTTCAGTTCCATGTGAATTTCAGAATCGGCTTATCTGTTTGTACAGAGACCCTGGTGGGACTGGGACTGCCATGGCATTGAATCCATAGATGCCTTTGGAGAGAATTGCTGGCTTGGTACTTGGTCCTCTGGTCCATGGGCACCCATATCGTGGAGGTGTCTCCGTTTCCTTCTGGCAGTCCTGTGGCTGTCAGAGTAGGGGTCCTGCACATACTTTCTAATACGTATTCCCAAGTCATATGTTGTCTGAGGCTGCTGGAGATAGGACTTAAAATTTTTCATTTTCCAACTTCGTGCCGCTGGTATAGAAACTTTCAGTTGATTTGTGCATAATGAGCTGTGTGCTTCAGTCACTGCAGTGAGGGGCTTCTGTGCGTGGCCAGAGTTTGGGCAGGAACAGAGGAAAGCAACTGAAAGATTATAGCTCTCTTGCTTTGTTGTGGTTAAATTGCTTTTGTTTCTGTTTGTAGAACTAACTCTGGATGGTCATTAGAAACAGTACATTGAGCTAGGAACTCGGAGTGATGGATTAATTTGGTTAAATGTGCAGAATCAAGCTATTAAGCACTAACTATCCTTCACATTGTTTGATCCCATAATGAATGAGCTTTGAGGATGCAGTGTTTATAAAAGCTCCCTTCTCACAAATGAACTTTCTGAACGTGTAACATAACTATGAAGGCACCTCCCCATCACCACCCCCTGCCCCGGCTGTACCTGTCTTGTTCTTCATCGGCTGTAGCAGAAGGCAGTTCTGGCCAATGTGACCAGCACAGGAGTTAGCCACAAGAGTCCTGCTGTGCTCCCGCTTTCCTAGAAGCCCCAGAACCAGGCTCGGTGTAGACACCGCATGTCCCGTGGGTGGCCACAGAAGTGAGGCTCACGTGGCTGCTACCTAGGAGCTCTGGACACGGGCTGAAGGGACCCCATGGTCCCTGTTGTTGCCTGTTGAAGTCTGGGTCTGTGTGCTCTGGGAAAGTGGGGACCAGAGCCCTTTACTTTCCTTTGGTGGCTGAGCTTCACAGGAAGGAGGTCAGGGACTCGGGGACCAGAGTGTGGCAGCCCCCTCCTCTTGCCCAGTCTTCTCCATCTTGTCCACCCCGCTGGGACCCCGGAGATGCTATGCCCAGGGCATCACCCCAGCTCTAAGAGTGCTGCTTTTTTTTTTTTTTAAAGATTTTATTTTTTTGTTGGAGAGAGAGCACAAGTAGGCAGAGAGGCAGGCAGAGGGAGAGGGAGGGAGAAGCAGACTCACTGCTGAGCAGGGAGCCCGGCGTGGGGCTTGATCCCAGGACCCTGGGACCATGACCTGAGCCGAAGGCAGACGCTCAACGACTGAGCCGCCCAGGCGCCCCAGGAGTGCTGCTTTTACCCACTTAGTGCCACAGCGAGCAGTCCTCCATGCGCGTCGTGGTGGTTTTCATGACCTGTGCTCTCTTGGAAGGAATTCCGAACGTGGCTGAGGGAAGAATGGGGGCGGACGCTGGAGGACATTTTCCACGAGCACATGCAGGAGCTCATCCTGATGAAGTTTATCTACACCAGTCAGTACGAGTAAGTGCAGTCCCCTCTGTGGGTACTGTGAGCACAGTCTCTGTCCCCCCTCTGGCCACCCCCCCCCCCCCCCTGCCCTACCTTGGTGTCTGTTCTCTGTCTGATTTATCATCATGAGCCTGGCCTGTGTGCCGGAGCCTCAGGGTGGTTTCCCCATGTCTGCCGGGGGACACCTCCTCTCTTAGCTGCTCTTCCTGCCTTGGCCTCCGCCCCATGCCCTGTCCCCATGACCCATTTAAATAGTCCCTTGTGTAGTGAACATCCCTTTCTTGGTCTCCGGGATTCCTGTGCCAGGGTGACGGAGCAGGGGCGACATCCCCTTCTCTTTGGAGAGTGCTACCTGCCCCAGTTCCCTTGTGGTGCTGGTAGAGCGAACGTGCGCCCCTGTTCAGCCCTGTTGGAATTCCAGAGAAGGTGTGAGATGTGCCCTGCAAGTGTTTTGAGGACGGGTGATTGTGGCTCAGGAATGTGGGGTGCCCCCGCTGCCCCCTGGCCTGGCAGGAAGCTCAGCCCGGCTGTTCTAGGCTACCCTGCCCTGTCTGCCGTCCCTCACGCGGCAGGGAGGTGAGTGAGCTCTGTACTTTTGCCTGCCCGCCGAGCTGCTCTCATGCCTCCCCTTCCCCCCGCAGCAACTGCCTGACCTACCGCCGCATCTACCTCCCGCCCAGCCACCCGGATGACCTCATCAGACCCGGCCTGTTCAAAGGCACCTACGGCAGCCACGGCCTGGAGATCGTCATGCTCAGCTTCCATGGGAAGCGTGCCAGGGGCACGAAGATCACGGTCAGTCCGGGTGCTACCCTGGTGGGCCCCGCTCTGTGAACTCGGTCTGATTGGCTGTGCGGTAGCCTGACTCGGGCTGCACCCCAGCTACTCACAGTGGGCTCTGGACCCGTGGCACCCCTGCACTGGGGAGTTTGCTGGGAATGCAGATTGTCAGGCCCCACCCAGACCCATTGAACTAGGATTTGTATTTCACAAGACCTCCAGGGGATTTGGAGCATTTCCAAGGTGGCTTTTCCCATGGCTCTCAGTCCTGGCCACACACTGAACCCCTGGGGCTGTTGAAGAAACGCTGATGCTGGGCCCTGGAGATTCTGATTCAGTGGGGGAGGGGCCTGGGACTGTGGCTCCGTGAGGTTCTCTGATGGGTGTAAGGTGCGGAGACCTCCTGCATTATTACACAGGCTCCCGATGCCATCCTGGCCTCAGCAGCTGAGGAACACAGTCAGAGGGTTGTTGAGCTGAATGGGGGTCTCGAACCAGTTGGCCATTAGGCCTGCTCCAGGGGCACCGTCCACACTGTGCTCACCTGTCATTTGCATAGCTGGGGTGTGTTTCTGCCAGAGGCACTAACGTGTCCTGGGGAGCAAAGCCTCTTCTTTGTTCTCACGGAGCTATGCTCTTGGACCTCGATTGGCCAGGGTCCCTGTGCTCTGGGAAGGCTCCTTGTGTGCAGAGCCCAGCACTGGGGCCCCTGGTGGAGCTGCAGGGCCTGGAGGGTGTCCCAGGTTCAGGGTCAGGAGCGTTTGTGTTCTAGGCAGACAGGTTCAGGTCTGGCCCTGCTGCCTGGCCCTGGGAGGGTCTGTGCCCTTCCCTAAGCCCCAGTGTTCTAGAATGGGGAGGTTTTTATACCTGGAGGGCTCAAGTGCACATGAGCCACCATGCCGGGTGTCTGTGCATCTCTCGAGGTCACTCAGGTGCTGTTAGCCCCTATTTTCAAAGATCCCTTCACAGATGGGGGTGCCTGCTGTGGGCACATTTTTTAAGGGCTTCTAAAATATTCTTCAGAAGGGATGCTGCTAAGTCAGTGGGAACGCTAGAGTGAGCTGATTGGGCCAGAGGTGTGATGTAGGCAGGAAACCACACACAGTGTGTCTCTGCTGATGGCCGCATGCTTGTTCCTCAGGGTGACCCCAACATCCCTGCCGGGCAGCAGACTGTCGAGATTGACCTCATGCACCGCATCCAGCTGCCTGATGTGGAGAGCCTGCGCAACTTCAATGAGCTCTCCCGCATCGTCCTGGAGGTTCGGGAGCAGGTGCGCCAGGAACAACAGCAGCATGAGAACGGGCTCGAGGACGGTGAGGGCCGTGGCCGGCAGAGCCCCCGGGAGCCCCAGCGGGGCCCTGCCCAGCCCAGTGTGGAGCCGCCTGCCGAGAAGGCCGGGGAGCCTGGGGACGGAGGGGCCGCGGCTGCGGCTGCGCCTGCTCCTGAGCAGCCCGCCCACTCCGGGCAGGGGCAGCCGTTTGTGTTGCCCGCGGGCGTGAGCTCGAGGAACGAGGACTATCCCCGCACCTGCAGGATGTGGTAAGAATGCCAGGGTGGGCCGCGACAGGCCTTCCGGGGAGTCCTGCCTTCCCACCCCCGTGGAGACGGGCTGTGCGGGCTGGGCTCAGCGCCGGCCAGCGTGGGGGCTCCCTGCACCCGGCGGGGAGGCCCTGACGATTCCGTCTGAGTCCCAGCTCGGGCCTGTGTGGACAGCGCCCTTCCCTGGGCTGCACGGAGTTTGGAAGCTTCCGACCCCTCACCCCCGGGGAGCCTCTGAGGGGGCTTATTGGAACTGCCAGGCACGAGGCCTCCTTCCTAGTGCCTTCTGTCGCCTCGTCAGTCAGGTGCAGGGTAGACAGGTGAGTCTGCAGCTGGCGTTGAAAGCAGCCGGTGAGGAGGGGGCTCTTCTGCCCCTGTCCCCCTAGAAGCCAGCTCGAGTCCACCCGGTTGTCCTTGTAGGTAAGGCCTGTTGGGGGTCTCCCTCTGGCCCCTGCTGCGCACCATCCAGTGTCAGCCGTCTGTGTCTTCCTGTGGTTTCTCTGCTGGCTCAGAAAGTGTGCGCAGAGGGCTGGCAGCACACTCCTGCCCCAGGGCCGGCTTGCTCTTTGCTTGACGGCTGTCCTTACGGTTTTGTCTCGGGCCACTGCCCTCAGCCACTCAGGCCCACCCCCGCCCCAGCCTGCTACACTTCAGGGCTTCCTAGGTGTCGATGAACTAGAATGAATGAAACCACAGACTTGGGTCCTCTGTCCCACTGGCCACATTTCCGATGCCAGCAGCCACACGTGTATTGCACAGTGTGGGCCTAGAACATTCCATCAGTGCAGTTAGTTCTCCTGCACAGTTGCCCTAGGGGACCTTTGAGGGGATGACCTGTCCGTCTCTTGGCATCACAGCTGCCTGGCCTGAATGTCCAGTTACGTGGAAAGGTTGGTTTCCTTGACTTCCGGGCTGACTGCTGTCTTGGGCTGGTGGCGGCTGTCTGATTGGTGCGTCACACGTAGAAGAAATGTGGGTGGGGCTCTGAGCTCCAGAGGGAGGCCTTAGGTGTCTGTGTGGGCTTGGTGGGTAAATTGGTTCTGAGCACCAAGTGCCCGTTGGGGTGGTGCCCCCCACACCAGCATGCAGTTCACGACACCGGCTTGGTGTCTGGCCGCTGGACTCAGTCCTGACACCCCCCCCCCCCCGCCCCCAGAGATGGCGTCAGACCCAGCAAGACTGCCTCTGTTCTCTCAGACACCAGTCCCAACCGTGCTTCTGACCAACCAGCTATAGGTCGGGGGTTCCCGCGACCTCCTCCTCAGGTTCCATTAATGGGGTGGGGTGGCTCCCAGAACTTAGGGAGACACTACGTTTACCATTTTGTTGAAGGAGTGAGAAAGGACGCAGGTGGGCAGCCACATGAAGAAACGTGCAGGGTCCTGAGTGCACTAGCTTCCAGCCCCGTGGAACTGGAGTGTACATAGGTGTCCCCCACCTGGGAGCTCCCTGAACCCCATACTTTGGGATATTATGGAGGCTTCCTCACAGAGGCATGGTCCATCATAAGCTCCATTTCCAGCCCCTCTCTTGTCTGGAGAATGACGGGACCGCTCAAGATTCCAAGCTTCTGTTCCTGGCTGCTAGTGTAAATCATCCCTTAGGAATTTACCGGGGTTTCAGGAGCCCTGTGCCAGGCACTGGGGCAGAGATCAATGCATGTATTCTTTTATCTCATGTAGTGGAAATCCATTCCATTTTCCTTTATGTTACACAGTTATCACAAAAGTGGCTGAATGCGGGTTTTCTGAGAGGAGATATACAAATGGTGTTCCAGTATGATTTCAACTGTTGTGAACTTTTTAGTGGTCATAAAAGAGAAGGGTTCTGTCGTTCTTATGAAACTTGACAGCCCGCAGTGTCTTGTGGCCAGCCAAGAGCCCAGTGGGCTCAGTCGGGCGCTCTCAGGCCAGCCCTGCGGTGGAGGCACGGGATGTGCCACACATCGGTCTCTGTGACCTGGGAGGGGCGTGCTGTGGTCCCTTCCCTGTTTGGTTTGTGTGTCTGCGAGGCCTTGCCCCAGCGCGGGTGCAGGACGTGGCTGCCTCTGGTCCTAAGCTCGTTGGGCATCACTTTGCCTCCCTGTGGGTTCTGGGGCCAATTTCCCCACCTGAGAATCCCACGAACCACTCGCCCTCATGCACAGGCCTGCTCTCCCTCTCCTGCCCAGGGGAGCCTCGGCGTGGTGGATGGAGGGTCGGGTGCCAGGCGCCGTTCTGTGCGCTGGGAGATTGGGCCAGCCCGCGGCTCCTCATTATCTTTATGAGCACCAGTTTCTTGGCAAGAAAGACATAAATGCATCTTAGTCTCACATTGCTCTCGAAACTTGAAACTTGGCCTTTACGGGTATTTGAAAGTTCTGCCTTCTGAGTTCACGATGGTTGGGTGCCAATAAGTCTTTATTGATTATATTTGAGTCATTACATGCTGACATAACTGTCCTGGGAATTCAGATTTTGGTTATCTGAGCCAGCTTTATGAAGGTGTACTTGGGGACAGAATTACGCGGTGGGGCTGCCCGAGACCCTCTTTCTTTAGCTGGATGAGCTGGTGGAGAGCGGCGGTCAGCAGGGTGAGCCTGACCATGGGCCTGCGGCTCGGCGCGCTGGGCACTTAGAGTTGCTTGGTGGTCCAGGTGATGGGCTCTCTCAGGTGCCGTGAGCTGCTTCCTGCTGGCAGGGAGGAGGGCTGGCCTGTGGTGTGGGGGCACTGCAGCGGGGGCTGACGGGGTGGGACGGGCCCAGTGCGCTCCTTCTGGCCCCCCTCACTGTCCTCCCTGCGCTTTCCCTCTTGTCTTCGCACAGTTTTTACGGCACAGGCCTCATCGCCGGCCACGGCTTCACCAGCCCTGAGCGCACCCCTGGGGTCTTCATCCTGTTCGACGAGGACCGTTTCGGGTTCATCTGGCTGGAGCTGAAATCCTTCAGCCTGTACAGCAGGGTGCAGGCCACCTTCCGGAATGCAGAGGCGCCGTCCCCACAAGCCTTCGAGGAGATGCTCAAGAACATCCAGTCCCTGACCTCCTGACAGGCCACTTTCTTGCGGGGCGGCTCCCGGGGCCCTGGACCTGGCACCTGGGAAAGGAAGCAGCATGCACTTTGGAGAGTCAGCCTTCTGACCAGAACACCCACCTTGTAGGAGTCTCGGCCCAGCCACCCCAAGACTCTTTGTACAGAGTGTGTGATGTTTGCGTGTGTCCTCGTTAGGAGCTCGTGGGAAGGCTGACTGAGCACGTCTTACAAAAAGAAAGAAAGAAAGAACCAGAATGGGACTGATTGAGAGGCCTGGCTGCAGAGTTTTGTGAACAACTCAAGTGGAGAAATTGGATTTGTCCTTGGCCTGCTGGCAGTTTTCAAGGGACAGGTCGAGCGACCCTGGGGGCTGCTAAGAGGGATTGTGTGTGCGGCGTGCCAGTTGGAGGCGAGTGGAAGTGGCTGCAAGCTGGCAGGGGCCTGGGGTGAGGGCAGCCTGGGTGTGGAGCAGTGTGTGCACAAAGGGAGGTCCAGGGGGGTCCAGGATGCTGGGCCAGGACCCTGGACTCAAGTGCCGTTTCTATACTAACCTGCTTGGAGTTTGGACAAAAGCATTTCACCTCTGACATGTTTGTGCATCAGTGCAGGGGGTCAGTGATGCGGGCCGGGAGGGAACGGCGGCTTGGCGGCCCTGGCCTCTGTCCAGCTTTAGAGTCAAGACCTTCGCTGCATCCAGTTCGACACAGGCTGTTTGTTTGCACCCCCAACCCACCTCCTGCCCACGCTGTGGTGTCAGAACCCCGAGCTGAGCCACTTGTCTCAGAACCTGCCCCAGAATTGGGCAGGGCCACATCCGAAACAACCCTGCGTTTCCCCACTTGCATAGCATACACAGGTGCTGTTCTTGGAAGGGTTTAAGCAGCAGAGTGGTGGCACAGATGACTTTGGAGCTCCTTTGCAGGGAACAGGGCAGCTTTCTGGAAGTCACCCCCTATGTATGGAATGCACTTTGGAGACCAGGGTCTCTTGGGATCCTCCAGGGCAGAGGTCTGAGCACAGATGCTTCTGTGGGTGCTGTCCCAGTGTCCCACTGACACCTGCATTTGGGGACCCACTGTAAGGTCTCTGCTGATTTTAGTGTCTCCTGAAGAACAGAGCCCAAAATGCACGTAGCCCCCCGAGAATTAGTTGCAGCTCTGCCTCCAGCCTGCAGAGAGCTGTCATCACATTCACCTTCCATGGGGGGCGGCTTCACTGGGGAGGCAGGCCAGCCGTCCCCCTCTCTGTTGCTTGTCCTTGCTGGGTGGACTGTGCCGAGCCCTCATGCCGGGGGCAAGGGACCCCAGGGAAGGGGGCAGCTTCGTGGTGCCTTCATGTAGAGACTAACGTGAGATGTCCCATGAAACATGTTTTCCTGATGAATTTCTCCCTGACTGGCCTTTTTTTAAAAAATAAAAAATCCCCATTGCTCTAGCTTCAGTACCTTTGGCAACTTTGAACTTCCTTTGCTTCCCAGAATTGTAGAATTGATAAGCTCTGGGGCATGGTCCCTAAAAGGCAGACCTTCTAGGAGGTTCTTCCCAGCTCCCGACTCGGGAGGGTGGCAAGCCAAGAAGGTGGAGTCCCGTCCGGCTGGCTGTCGGACACACCGTGGCTCACCTCCCACATCCTTCTAGTAGGACCTGAGGCGCGGTCCCAGTTTTCGTGTCTTCTGCAGGACCGAGCCTCCAAGCGCTGTCACCCCCACCCCCTTGCGGCCGTCACTGTGTGTCCTGTACCAGGCATGCTGCTCCTGCATGGTGGTAGCCGCAGCCGTGAAGCCTCGGTGAGAATGGAGTGAAGGCCCGCGGGGCGTGTGGCTTCCGTGCTCCATGTTTCGCCCGAGCCTGAGGCTCACTCTGAGGTTGCTCTGCCCAAGCCCCCCCCCCCCCGTCTGTATAGCCCACTCAGATTGAAGATGAGCCTTTCTGATGAAAAACCAGTCTCGAACCCAGATGGTAGAACCTGCCTCTGGAGTGTGGGCCTCTCCACGGTTTCTGCTAGCCATGGCTGTTGGCTGTGTTCACGTGGGTCCCTGGCTCTGGCGTCAGGCGGTGCCCCGGGGACCTGTGGGGCCGAACGGCTCGGCAGTGGTCTGGGTGAGGGCTTGTCACCTGCACAGCTGGGCATCCAGCATACGTCTTATTTCCCACTTAGTGGAACTGTGGCCAGTTTTGGTTTCCAGTTGAGTAGGCGAGTGTGCAGAGCCTGTGCAAGCCAGCCCCAGGGGGCGTGCCTGAGGGCAGAGCGGGCAACCAGCCCATCCGGGCAGCTTCCAGCCGGTAATTCATTGCAGGTGAGGATTCAGAAAGGCTGAGGTCGTGGTTGGAAGCCCGAGGGCAGCTGGGGGTTTGATAACACAGGTCCCCCACAAGGAACCTGAATGACCCAACTTAGGGACTGTCTGTGCCCACGTGCTGCATCATTCGGGGAAGGTGGCGGTGGACCTGGGTCGGTTTGGCCATCTTCCCCTGGTTGGCACCCCCTTACTCGCCACTGTGCTGCTGTGCGGTTGGATGAGTCTGTCGTGGTGTGAGTGGCAGGGGAGGGGCCTCAGGTGCGTGTCTGCTGCTTGATGGGAAGAGCCGTGATTGGAGATTTCAAATGGGAGTCCGTGGAGGTTCTTATGTATTGGGGCTGAATGTTCACTGCAGGAGGCTTTTGCGATTGGCTGGCCACTCAGGCCTGGTGGTCTATCTGGTTATGTTGGCCCACCCAGCTCAGACGTGCAGTGTCTACTGCTGGGTGGGAGCAGGTTTGGAGGCCTCTTGGTGGGAGTTCCAGAATCCTTCCTCCCACAGTCCAGACTGGGCCTCCTGTCCTGGCCTCGCCCCTCCGTCCCTCCATCTGGGCAGCTGGCTCACTGTGGCTGGTGTTGAGGGCTGCACCCTCCCTCCCTCCCTCCCTTCCTCCCTTCCTCCCTCCCTCCCTTCCTCCCTTCCTCCCTTCCTCCCTTCCTCCCTCACCTCTTGCCCCAACCCAAGCAGCTTAGGCTGGGCGCCTGTACTTGGCGTTCCTCTTGGCCAAGGCGGAGGGTGGCAGTGGTCCCACAGTGGGCTAGCTTGAGGAGCAGGCCAGGCCTCCATCCCCTCTTCATGCAGAACAAGCTCTGAGCTGGAGTTGGCCCATCCGACGTTCTCTCTCCCTGAGAACCTGGGGTTGCCGCTATGGCCCGGTCAGGCAAGGCCTGTCCCTTAGGTAGCCCACCCTCCGTGCCCCACCAGCTGCAGCGGTTCAGGGCTGGTGTTCAGTTTGTGGGTGGCCCGTGTGTTGCACACTGCTCTAGTGCTCACGAGCAGTGACAGAGAGGACCCTGCTCAGTCCCTTGGCGTGGCGAACTCGGTCACGGGGATCTCGGAATTTCTGAGCTCCCCGCGTAGACCCGGTGCTTTGAGGAAGCTGCCCTGTTCTGTCAGAAGCCCTCGTTCTGTCTCTGTCTTCATTCTCTAACTTTTAGAAATGCTTATGGGAGTGTTCTCAGACAGCCCTCCCTGGCTTGCGGCTCGTGCACCCCAGTCCTTGGCCGATCCCGGAGGTAATGTAGGCTGACCTCCCTGTTCTTACTTTTGGGAGGTCTGGGACATACATCCTTGGAAGTGTTTAGAGAGTAGAAATAAGCCATGGCGCCGTCGATTAGCCTGCAGCTGCGAACGGGAACAAGACAGTGCCAAATTACTGAGTGCTCCGTGTCATTTATGGCTTGGCGGCCTGCAGGCCCGCCTTCAGGAGGCGTGGGTGACCGGCGGTGCCTCTGAGGCTTGGAAGACATCCTCTCTTCTGGGCCCTTTCTGTGCTCACAGGGAGACCCGCCAAAACACAGGAAGGGGTCAGAACCTTTACTTTTTCAGCCTAATTTTACTTTTGGTTGTTCTTTGAGATCACGTAGCCTACTTGGAGAAGAAACCCGTTTCTGCTGCTTGATACTGAAATCCCACGCCCTGACAGCCGTGGTGAGGTGGGGGGAGCTGCTGTCCCTCTCGGGTGTCTGCTGTGGTGCAGGGTGGGCTGGAGCGGGGGTGATGCCCCCGTGGCAGGGCCAGGACCCGAGGAAGTGGCTGCTGTGAGCCTGCGCCCAGTGTTGTCACCTGGATGGGACCACCCTGTGGGGCTGTTTCTCCATAAATCAGTTTTTGAAACGTTGTGTGCTTTGTAATTGTTTTTTGGGGGATGTGATTTAGATGGAGGCCGGAGCCATGAGCAACGTGAGGTGGGGGTTGCTGGGGCCCGAAGGACGGGACTGGATCCTGGCGGGGTGGGGGGGCCCCCCGGGAGCCTCTCGCACCTGGACCTGACAACGTTTTGATTTTCCCAGTTGTGCAATGAAGTGGTAAGTGATCCCTGGGAACCCAGACAATGGTAGGTCACTGGACCCCTCCCTCTGACCTCAGTTTGATAGGTGTCCGCATCACTGACCCAGTGGCCCTGAGGAAGCTGGGGCCACAGTGGGATTTTCTCAGGCTAAATTCAAGGGGAGTTTGCCTTTTCTGAGAACAGGATAAGAACAGGGCATGAGGGCAGGGGCTGTGCTCTGTGGTGGGTGCACAGCTGAGGGTCTCATTTCTGAGTTTTCTGTTTGTAAAGGTAATATTCTTGTTAAAAAGTGCAAGAATTTAATATAGGAAGTATAAAAGTACCTCATGTTCCTGTTCAGGGGCGGGAGGATTTCCCTCCTCTGTCTGAGCAGTGGCTTAGCCCTGCAGCCCCCCTGGGAGAAGGCTGCCTAGTCCTTCCCCCATGGGAGGCTGTGCTGGCGGGGCCCTGGCCAAGCTCCCAGTGCGCCCTGCATCCCCCTGGGCCCCCTCGTGGGACTTTCTGTAGTCTGGCCTCTGGTGGGGATTTAGGGCCGCCGCATGCACATGGGACCCCAGCCAGCGCGAACTGAAAATCTAGGAGTGCTGGAAGGCTGCCTTCCTAGCACCTGGTTTTTGGAAACATACGGCTGCAGGGAATAGTTGCTCTGCTCACGTTGAGGGTGGCACCTACGGTCCTTCCCCACCCCCACTGGCCCTTCTGTAGATGCGCAGTCCTGGGATGAACAGGTGCTTCTTTGGGAGCAGACAAGAGGGAAGGAGGTCGTGGACTGCTAGGACACACGTGGGGAGCGTGCTAGAGGGAGGCCTGAGGTGTGACCCAGCACCCCGCTCTCCCACTGCGGGCACACGCCTGTGGCCCAGTTCCGGCTGCAGACCCAGGGCTGCTGAGCAGCCCACAGCAACCCCTGGGGCTGC